GGATAAAGGCTTGGCTGGTGTGGCTCAGTGGATTGAGTACCAGCCTGCAAACCAAAAGGTCACTCATTCAATTCCCAGTCATGGCACATGCCTGGGTTGCAGGCCAGGGGGCACATGAGGAGCAAATGCACATTGATGTTTTTTTCCCTCTTCCTCCCTTTCTCTCTCTCTGAAAATAAATAAATAACATCTTTATAAAAAAAATAAAATAAGATAAAGGGATATTATGAATAACTATGGAAATAAATCCAACAATTACAAAGAAAATAAGTAATTATCTTTGAATGTTACTGTACATAAATTATATCTTACTTAAAAATATATAGAAAATGATCATTGGTTCAATATATACCTACATGTCATTAATCACATTGGCCTCTTCATGGGTAAAAGTCCCAAAGACACTGTAACATACATACATTGTAAACAAATGATTACGGTTGGTTGTGGAATTTCAGGGATCCAAAAATAGCAGCGAAATGTCTTTAATTAATCTTATGTTTTTCTGTTTTGTTTCACTCCATGTTTTTGTAGTTAACACTAGAGTCATAAGGTCATCTGGAAATGTGAATGCAGCATTAGTGGTGATAGTGCTGCATGTTCACTATATAAGTTGAGGCTGCAAAAGCAAAAACTGCAGGGCATTTGAGCAAAGTCCAATTCCACAGACCCTCTTTTGTTAGAGGCAAGAGGTCAACAATGCAAAGCTGCTGTTATTTGAGGGTGCTGGGGGTGGAAGCTGTTTTGCAGCAGGAACATCACTGGGGTACTTGGGACAAATGCTTTTTGAAGAGCTTCTTGATGTGTTTATGTGTGTTCCTCTTTTCATGTTTTCATCAGCAAATATCAAAATGTCACAACACAGCTGGAATTCCAAACAGTAATCTTCACGAAGTGTAGAAAAATTCCCAGGGCCAACGAAAAGTCCAGCAGACACTGTCCCACTTCTCCCCACCCCCTATCCCTACAAATCAGAGCAGTGCTGGGTGCAGGATGCATGCATGCTCAGTAAACAGTTGTAGAAATGAATGAATGGATTGATGAATGTGCCCTAACCAGGACCATTCATTTAACAACATATCACCTACTCTAGGCCCATAATTAAGTGCTGCAGGGGTTGCAAAAGGAACACAAGACATGTGGCCTGAGAACCCTTAACTTCTAAGTAAGAACACTGGCAGACATGTGAAACCACCAAGGAAAACAGGAGACTCTTTAATAGCAGCCTGTGTTTGTAGGATTCCTGGCCTCTCATTTCCCAGGAAGATAACATTTCATTTGGTAATAACCAAGTCCTCAGAGAGGTTCTTATCAACCCCTTTAACAGAGCTCTCTCCCAATTTTCTTCCACTTCTAAGAGAGCATAAAAAGGCCCTTATTAATAGTTTTATTGTCCCAGAATTAAAACGACCCACCACTCCCATGAAACCATCCGTTTTGTTTGCTTTGATGTTGTGGGTACGAAAAGAAGGGACAAGGAGTGGGGAGGTGGTGCCTTAAGTCATTTGCTCTTTGGAGGAGTAAGGGTGGTATCTGGGAGGGTGTGATCACTGCTTGGGGCTGGTGAGTTTATATCTTGCCACACACAAAGCATCAAGGATAAGGACAGTTTGCAAAACAGCCTTTGCTTATTCTGGTACCAAAAAAAAATAATAATAATAGAAAACTCAAGAAAATACTTGTAAAGAAAAGGAAATAGGCTTAGGGAAAACACCCCAGTTCCCAGACTTTATTTGGCAGGGAAAGAAAACAGTGGAGCCAAGGAACCTTTCCCATTCCCCAGATATGCCTTTTTTAACCCTCTTTTTTAAGCTTCGGCCTTAACGCAATATTCCAATTTTAGTATTACCAATATGTCCCAGACCTCACTAGTACATGACCTTACAGTAAGACTACATTTACTTTTTTTTCACATTTACTTTTGATGTCCAATCCGCTCCCCATCAATTGTCAGAAATCATCTCCCTCCTGGATAGTGTTTCCCAGACATTCTGAAGTAGTTCATGGTACCACTTCTGTGTGGTCAAGGGCAAACCTTGATTTTCCTATCCCAGCCTCACCTCTATGCCACCTCGTCACTGCCATTTCCCTCATGAAACTGCCGGCCTGCAGAACAAAGCTACCCCCTGCCAGATGATGGCCCGTGCCCCCTCTGCCCCCCAGGGGAGACCTTGTTGGAGGACACTGTTCTCATTGTTCTCCTTCCTTCTAGTGCACAGATATGTGCTTTTTTTCATTACCAACCAATAGAGTTGAAATCAAACTCTAACTTTTGATGGGATTTATTGAAATATTGGGGTAATGTAAAGGCATACAACATAGAGAATGATGTGTAACTGCCACATGGGCACAGACCTAAGGTCAGTTACCAGGTCAGTTCTTGCCTGGCCTCCCTCCACATGGCCAAATGAAGCTAATCACTGGCCGAGGATGACCTCTTCTCAGTATGATTAACAGTGGAGACATCTGTTCCCTCCTCTCACCTCCTCAGTGTATTTGTTGAGCGTCCAGAATGGTCCAGGTACTGGAGTAGACACAGAAGATACAGACACAGGAGATATAGTGGAGACTGAAACAGACATGGCCCAGATCTCAATGGGTTTAAAGTCTGGAAGTAGGAAAAAAATAAAAGCTAAACAAATAATTACATAATGAAATGTAAAAACTTCCCAAGTGCTGTGAAGCAAAGGTTGTGGGTACCATGAGGAAATCTAACTGAGGGAGCTAATTTGAATTGGGGAAGGCAAATGAGGCTACTTTGAGCATAATAGACATGTAAGTTGGGACTGAAGGCTGGGTAATAATTTTCCCAATTAAGAGCTAGGCAAAGAATCTCCACAGTCCCCCAACAGCAGTGATGGCAGATGGAAAGGGTCTGCTGGAGAAGGAGCTCAGGAAAACCACTGGGGCTCAAGTGAACAGGGTGGAGGCGGAGTGGTGCCAGATGGGGCTGTCGGGGAGGCACCAGAAGACCAGGGCAAGGAATCCCCAGTGTAATTGACTGCTGCTGAAGGGCTTTGAGCAGGGGAGTGAATGAAATGTTTTGACCAATATTTTAAGAACCTTCTGACAGCCATGTGGAGAATGAATGGAAGAGGGGCAAAAGGTGGTCAAAAGGTAGCGAGTGACTTGCCCAGTGGTCTAAGCAAGAGGTGATGGTGGCTCAGACTGTGGCGTTGGCAGAAGAGATGAAGTCAGAGCTTAGAGTATAACTAATGGAATTTGATGATAGATTATGTAGGGGAGAGAGGAGAGCCAAGGTAGGATCAAGGAAGGCTTCTAGTTTTTGACTTGGGCAACTGGGCATGTGGTCTGGTATCTGGGCACTGGTAGGAAAATCAAACAATAATCTGTACATTTCCCAAAGTCTGAAGTAACTGGCCTTCACTACTCCAACTGAGAAATATAAGTAGCCCAGGCCCAGAGCAGGCTCAGGTGAACCCCTCTTCAGTTTGTCTTTTAAACGCTCCAACAGCCTGGTGATCCAACCTCACCCATGGTTACCCCATTATATCAGTTTTAACAAAAGGTTAGTTTTACATTAGACTTCCTCCCAAAGCAATTGCCAGAACAGACCAGTAATAAACATCATTCATTCAAAAGAGAAACAGCCTATCGCAGTGATTCAAATGTTCAAATCCCACCTCTGTCACTTAGTAGTTAAGCAGCTTTAAGAAAGTCCTTAGCCTCTCTGTGTCTCAGTTTCCTTCTCTGTGAAATGGAAATAACAGTGTTGTCTATTAAAAAGAGCTGTTATAAGGCATAAGTGAATTAATTGTGTGTGGTATATTTCAAACAGAGCTTGGAACACTTAAATACTCAGATGGTGTTAGAAATTGCTATTGCTCTCCACTAACTCAAGTGTTAACCAAAAACTTCCCACTCCTCCAGCACTGTTGTATGCTGGGAGGCTGCTTAGCAGAGCAGAAAGTCTTTCTGAGTTAGAGTTGAATTCAAATCTCATTTTTTGCCTAACCTCTCTGAACCCATTGTTTCGCCTATAACATGAGGGCAATATTACCCACCTTAAGTGGTTATTGTGAGGATGAAAACAAATCTCTGTGCAGGGCCTTGTACACAGTACATGCTTAATAAATGTTAGCTTTCTTTCTCTACTCAAAAGAAGCTTCTCTTTCCAACTTAAATAGTGCAACTCAAACTTTTCATAGACTTACAGTTTATGAATAAGGTGAAGGCTTTTCAGAAATTACACTTTCTTTCCCTCTGGGCACAGTATGGGGCCATTTAAAAGACAGGAACATATCTTACATCCCAGAGAGAATGGTCCACAAAGATTCCATTTGATCCCCAGACTATTCATGTTTCCCACTCTCAGTCGGACCCTTTCCTAATGCCATAACCCACTTCCTCTTCCTGCCCCAAGGCCACCTTGAGCAACCAGAGTAAGAAAACACAGGCATCAACCCACAGAAAACACCCTTGGTTGTCCTGGAAAGCACAGACTGCCTAGACTTTTGTTTTCAAAGCTGACTACACTGTTGTCTTTGGCACAACCTTGTGGGTGGCAGAGCTCACGCGGATGCTTGCCCCTCCCACCTGCAGTCCTTGTGGTGGCCTTGCCCAGGCTGGTTGGTGCTTGCCTCTTTCTGCTTCAGAGAGCCATTTGCATCACGATATAAGGTGCCTGAGTCGCCTCCGAGTTTCCCTCAGAAGCAGTTGCATTTTAAGGCCCTTTTTTTTTAATATAGAATGAAAACTTCGTCTTGTTAATGAAATGGAAGTCTTTCGTGAGCAGATGGAGATTTCTGAAGGAGGGTCCTTCCCCTCTGTCCCTGAAATCTGTCTCATCCTACACTATGGCTGGCCCTAAGTGGATAATGTACTACAAAGATTCTCCCTCAGATAGGCTTTTGGGGGACCACTGGGGCAATATAGACTATCCCTGGAGATAAGAAAAATGAAAAAATGAACGTCTATGACTATTAATAGCACATTAAAAAATGCTCCAGTATGATTAATGGGGTGTTTTTGGATTTCAGAGAACAGATTCGACAAGGCCTTGAAGAACTCCAGAAGGTCCTGCCAGGAGGAGACACTTACATGCATGAAGGATTTGAAAGGGTAATTTTAAAACAATTTTCAACTCTGAACGTAAAGTGAGACATGCAAACATCAGTATAAGGATGGCTGATGGGATACGGTACATGCTTTAAGGGAACCGCACAACACCCAGTGGCAAGAGAGTAAAAAAAATTTCCCATAAACTTGTACGCTGATAACACTCTCCAGAAGAACTAAAGAAATCTCTCCACTCCTTCCCTGACCCAGACGAGAGATTTGCCTGCGAATGCTTGGCTGACACTCAGGAGTCATGCCTCACGAACAGACAGATATCTTCTCCATTCCCAAGGTCGCCTGTTCTACAGGTTGCTTCAGAGTTCTGAGACAGAATTTCAAAGACTTCAATCTTAAGGAAAACAAGTCCCCGTCTATGAGATTCATACTCACAAATATGTTACAAGTCAGGGCGACTTTAGATGGATGTCACCCGTTGATATTGCCTGAAGCCTGGGTGGGTTACAGGAAAAATCAAGGCTGAGCCGTGGCTGCAGGTTCAGCCCGGAGCCCACTGCCTAGTGTGCTGTTTGGAGCAGCAAGCAGTGGCTGTGTGTCTAATGGCTCCTTCATGTGTTTTTCAGGCCAGTGAGCAGATTTATTATGAAAACAGTCAAGGTGAGACTATATTATCAATTACCATTATGAATTATTTAACTTTTTTCTGTTTGTTTCTGGAAAAGCGCCTCAGTAAGTTCATGTTTTAAAAGACATATTTGATATTGACTACAATCCTTGGACACACGCTTGGTCCCGAAGGAGGAATGCATAGAAAGGTGACAAGTACCAGGTCCGATTCTCCCATCATGTTGATGTCAAGAAACGTGGCGTGAAAGCAACTAGCTCCCATTATGGGCTACAGTCTGCAATGCCTGTAAACAATTTTGCATTGAATTTGTTAAATTAGTATATACTTGGATGGGTTGGTAAAGTCTTGGATTTTTATGCTAAATTTAATTTTCTTATCCTTTTCTGGTCTCTAAGCCCCTTCATTACTGTGATTGTATATATTAAGAGTGAGATGCCAGTTTGGTTTAAGATTTCCTTCATTTAAATGAAAAAGTGTGAAAAAAGTGCACTTAGTAGAATGCCTGGCACGTGGAACTAATATTTATTATTCTTATTTTAGCTATTATTACTGTTACTATAGCATCTTTTTTAGATAACATTTCTTTATCTGAGGCAAATCTTTTAAAAGATTTAATATTGCACTGGGGATTTTCCTTCCAGGTCTATAGAGGTGTCCACTTCTGATTTCACTCCAAAGTACAACAAATAAAATAGATCCAGTATCAACATCACCACATGTTAGTATGTATCAACCACCAGCAATGTTACTAGAAGCCTAAAAATCACTGGAAGAATTCTATCAGGTTTTGCCAACTGCTATAATTCAGCCAGCTTGTCAATTACGGGGATGAGTACTCTCTGCCCACCTCTTCAAGGCGTGGTGCATGTGCTCAGCTACAGCCTGTGAAAAGGACCCCTGGACAGCTGAGGTGGCAGAGTGTGTTCAGGCCTCACTGACCATCACACGGTCTGTTCCTAGAAATAGAAGAAATCTGATGCACTGGAGCTACTCCCAGCAATCAGTCCAGGAACCATTTCACCAGGTTTTGGCCAACTTTTGGCCAACACCCTAGAGTCTGTCTCCACATTCTTCATGCTGGAATTGCTGCCAGTCCCGAGAGAAAAGTTGTTGATTCTTACAATAATGGCCTGGATGGTGGAGCTTATAAGAGGTGGACTCTCGGGGCTGAGAGAGGGTTTCCCTCAGTGCAGCAGGAAGGACTGATGGGTCTGTGTTGTGTTGCACAGGATACAGGACAGCCAGCGTCATCATCGCTCTGACTGATGGAGAACTCCATGAAGATCTCTTTTTCTATTCAGAGAGGGAGGTAAGCGACCATCTGGCCTGTGTCTGTCCAAAAAGACATGGAAGGTGCTTCTTCCTTCTGAAACAGTCTGTGATCTTTGTACTTGGCCAAAATGATTGTTGTTCTTCATAGAAAACCCTGGATAAAATAGTGTCTTATATGTAAAATAATAATAAAATTTATATTTTACAGTGAACCTTCATAGGAGGTGCGGGGGCTGGATGGAGGTGTGCAAAGGTGGGAGGGGGCATGGGGGACTTCTGTAATAGTGTCAACAATAAAAAAAGGAATCTTCATGTCTTATACATGGTAGATATTTTTCCCCTTTCAAACTATTTCTATGTTTGGGGGGGCGGATAAAAATATCTACCATGCCTTTATTAAATGCAGTATATTGATGTAACAGTTTTGAAATACTATATGTCCTTTTTAAGCAAAAACATTTTTTTCTGAATTTTCCCACATATTTTCTACTAAAAGCAGGAAGGGAAAGAATTTCTTAAAATATGTAAGAGCTAATCTTGGCAGAATATATTAATCATTGAGATTCTCTCCCTAAGAACCAAAGTTGAACATTAATTGGTGGCAAAGTAAATTGTAATCTCTCCCTCAATATTTCTTTTTTCTTTTACTTTGTGTTTTCATAAAATACTCCTGAAAGCAAATGAAAGAATTGTCTCTAAATGAAACTTTCAGTTTGTATAAAGAGATTCAGAAAAAAAATGGTTTATTCAAAAATTAAAAAGTAGTATTTATATTTAGGAAATCTTTTCCATTCAAGTTTTAGATGTCGGAGCTATATGTATAAATGGCCCAAAGAAACCATTTAACCATGAGAATGAATTAAAGGCTTATTCAGGCCAAGTTAGAAAGAAACACAATGAGGAAAAAGGCAGGGAGGGAGAGAGATTCTGGTCTCTTGGGGAGGAGTTAATCAGAGCATTACACTTACCTCAAACTCTTGACTACTATTTAATTTCAGCTTAGCTTCCTCAGCAAGCAAGAAGTATGTATCCATTCATTTATTCACTCAGTGTTAACTGAGAACTTGGCATGTGATAGGCACTTTGTTGGACACTAGGGACACAGAGGGTCAGTAAGACACAGTCGCTGCCCTCCTGGGCCTTACTATGCAATAATGGTCAGGTTGTTGGAGCCTCTGCTGACCAAGGGCAGGAGCAAATTATGTAGGTGAACACATTACTCCCCCCCACCCCGTGACTAACTAAGACAAAGGATAATTCACAATGGGAAATACGCAAGTGAATATGACAGGCACTCCCTGAGCATTTGGGAAGTAATTTCTATACTCTAAGGTTAAAACTATGTAATGGGAATGTGAAATGGCTCATCTGGGTGCCAAACATCAGTCAAATACAGTAAAATCCCTAATATGGAAATAACTGAATATAAAATAAATGATAGTTGTCGGATGCTTAAAATAGGGTTTGGTAGAAAATAGGGGTTAGTAGAAAAGAATTTTAGGTATGGCACATACAACCTTGGGAAAGTGTGCGGGGTGCCAATGCCAACAGAAAGAGGGTTTCTGAAGAAGAAAGATAAGACTCAAGATATATAAAGAAAAGGAACCTTTCCATTTTGGATAATTCTATATAAAGTGCAACTGGAGAAAAAATGTCACAGAAGTTGGTGGAGATAAGGCTGGGGCTAGACTGTGTCTAAAAGTTTGTTTTATCCTGAAGCCTCAAGAAATATTTCTAACATGAAGGAAAAAAGATAAATGTTCCTATTTCTTCTAAAATTCAGTGTTAGTCACAAGTGGGTTTGAGTACTAACGGGGGGGGCGGTGGAAAAGAACACAATTCAAATTAATGTGCACATATTGAGTGCCTACTATATGGTTACTATCAATTATTTATTAAGCACCTACTGTATATACCAAAGATTTTCAATTCTTGTTTTCTATTTTGAAACTTGGAAATCAGTTATAAAAGCTTTTCATAAATCAAATATTAAAATCAAGCCAAAACCTGGATGTTATTTTTTATGTTGCCTTCTCAATACTTAATTGTAGAAAAGGTCATGGGTTCACCTACTCAAATATGGACCATAATTCCCATACCATTAAAGCCAGTGTATTCTATGGCAATAAAAAATGGCTTTATTCACAAAGGGTACTGACAGTTATGAGTATCTGCATTGTCCTAAACCTTGCATGAGGAGCTCTGCATTTAATATCTGTTTAATCCCCATAACACTTTACAAAGCAAAGCTAAGTGTCAAATCCAGGTATATCGAGTTCCAAAGGCCACATCCTTTCCATTATGCCATGCTACCATCACAGAGGAAGAAAAAGCATGCCAATAAAAATTCATCAGAGAAATAGAAAAGATAAATACTTCCCCAGAATATTTAACATGACTTAAACTTGCCTACAGTTTCCCTTTCCTCTCTTTGTCTTTCAAAGACCGTTTCTGCAGCTCTCAACACTTCCATTGGACTAATTACCTTTTATGTCTATTATGCATTACAATAGACATTCACTGGAGCTCTTTGGGGAAAGGGATTTACCTTCTCCATTGTGGTACCTGGTACATAGTAGGTGCTCAGTAAATACCTGATCATTGCAGTTGGTCTGGCTATTCCAAAAGGAGTGTGTTTGCCACTGCTTCTGTCTCTAAATGTCTTCTCTTTCATTGCATCAGGCTAACAGATCCCGAGACCTTGGTGCAATTGTTTACTGTGTTGGTGTGAAGGACTTCAATGAAACACAGGTATGATTATGAAATTTCCTTTGTTTGGTGGGTATAGAGCTTGTGAATAACTCAGCGCAGAGGGTGCATCAGCAACATACATACCCGCTAAGCAAATGTACGAAATGTAAGGAATGCTAAGCAGGAAGGGAATTACTGGATGGGTAAGGGCTGTGAAGCCATTTGCTGATGCACTTGGGGGCCCTTAACACAGACCATCCAGGCAGCATCTTTCCTGGTAGATGCAAAACTGCGAGGTGTCTGGACAGCTCTGAATTAACTTGGAAAATTTGTTGATTGTTTTTTCCTTTTTAATGTGATGTATCTTATTTTTTAATTTAAATGGCAAACATCCCTTTCTCCCATTAAATATGTGTATGCTTTTCAATACAACAATACGGTGCATTTTCAATACAAAAAAAGGGTAATAATTGGAAAGTGGGCAAAAAAGTATTTGTAAGTATATATAAGTAAACTGTGAAAATTTCCTAACAACCTAAATGAATGTTACTCAGTGTAGTTTGTAATTTCTTTTTGTTTTAATAACATGGGACAGTGCTCACGATATGTTGTTAAGTGAATAACATTGGATTACAGAACACTGGGAATAGTATGAGTCCACTTTTTAAATAGATATGTGTGTATGTGTAAATAGATTTTCTATAACTATGAAAGACTATATATATATCAAATTAACAATAATAGAAATGTGATAGATGGAAGGGTGGATGGACAGATGAATACATGGATTATGAGTAACTTTTTAAAAATGTATTTTAACAATTCTGGGTTTTCTGAAATTTCCCAATGACTGTGTTACTTTTGCAATCAGTAAGAGTCCTGGCATTGCTCTGACTGTGGTAGTCACAGAAATGTCCGAGGTTTGGGGTTAGAAAACTCACAGGGTATCTTCTCCTTCCTCCAGTCTTCTGCTTCATAAAGCAGGAGCAGCCACACCACCTGAGGGTCCTTTCCTCGCTGAGTGGGTTTGGTGAAGATAAGGGTCCCCATTCATTGCCTTACCCAACACCAAAGCCTGAATTTATTTTTAAAGTAGTTCTGAGAGGCAACTTGAGTTTGTTAGGTTCAAATACAGTTCCCAACAGAAATTTGGGTGAATGGGAGAAAAATGAGCCAATGGCCTGCCCCCAAGTACATAAATACATGAACCCAGGCCAAATGTTCATCTAGCTGAGCAATCTTACCTCCGCTCCCAAGGAAAAAAAGCATTAAAATAAATGTAGACGCTGGAGCCAACCCTCCAGACTCGCTCCAGATAGCCTGCTGGTAAGCTCATTATTGCTGAGGGCTTCTGAGCCAAGTCAAAGCCTCAAGTTCCCTGGGTCCTAAAAGTAGGTGGAGTCCCCTGAACCCATTGGCTTTCCTCAGTTCTCTACATCCAAGCGTGACACATCTATGTGTGTTTGTGTGTTTGTTCTCAGCTGGCCCGGATTGCGGACAGTAAGGACCATGTATTTCCTGTAAATGACGGCTTTCAGGCTCTGCAAGGCATCATCCACTCTGTGAGTAGAGCCCCTCCTTTGAGACTGGACACTTGGACACTTTCTGCCCTGATCTGCTATAAATACTGCAATTCCATCTTTCTGAGGCTGGTGTATTCCTGCTTGAGAGAACATTCCTTTGTATATCTTCATGTTCGTCATATCCCACTTCTGCCTCCTGCCTTTCACACCTGTTTCTTTTTCTTTCTCCTGTGCCAATTCTACCCTACAAGAGAAAATGAAAAAGTGAAGGGCACCCTGCTCTGGCAGCCAGCCAAACTTCAGGCAGTCCCCAGTTCTTAGAATGGAAAGGCTGTGGCTGATGGTGTATACTTGACAGACTTCAGCTTCCCCAAGCCTGACTGCATGCAAGCTGCCTTCAGAGAATTTTCAGGTTCAACTGGCATCACTTGGCCATTGGGGGCACTTTCAACTAGTGGTTCTCCACTTTGCTGCTACTGAAGTCACCTAGAGCAGGAGTTTGTAAGATCCTCCCAGGTAATTTTAATGTAACCCCTGCTTAAGACCTATAGTCCTCAAGTATTAGGGCTGCAGTGTTCTTCAGGGTTTGCACAATCACTAGCCCTCCTTTCCATCCCTGGTTTTTTACCACCCTTTTCCTGTCAGTGAGCAGGACACTGGGGTTTCCAGGGTCTTTCTTTTCCATCTTCCATACACAGGCTACCTGGTGTATTGGATGATGCTGGTCTTTAAAGCCTCAGCCAGAGGTCAGTGTGTGTGTTGCATCTGTAATAAAGTCCAGAGACACTGCAGCTTCTGCCTTTACGTTCTAGGACCAGGAAGACAGCCAGTGATTTCTCCACTTGGAGCTCACCAGGCTCACCTAAACCCGAGATTTAGGATGCAAATCCAGAGCTCTGAGGATCACTGTCCTCTTAAAATGTCAAGGGTAGTCTTGGCACAGAGTGTACCAGCCAGCTCCCCCAGACTGATACTAGGAAACCTCCAACATGGATGTGCCTTCATGCTCCCCGCCCTCCCTCCAAGGTTTGCTAGGAACACCAGCAGAGTGGGAAGTAAGAACTTTGGAGCTGGTCAGCCCAGAGTTTAAATACTGGCCCAGCAAGTTACCATTTATAGATCCTGAGATGAATTATTTCACTTATTTTCTTATTTGTATAAAGGTTCAATGATAAGACTTCTATCATAGACTTGTTTAAGGATTCAAGAGATAACACTGGTGAAAATACTTAACATCTTTCCAGACACACAAGACTACTATGTACTCAAGGCATATGAATTATTTCCTCTGCCACGTCCCTTCACCATCATATGAGAGACATTAATGTCAGATTCTCCCAATCCTCTAAATTTTCTTGAACATATATAGAAATCACCTGGGAATTTTGTTTATAATACTCATTCCCAAGTTCTATTCTCAAGGGCTTCTTTTGTAGTCAGTATGGGATGGGGCCCAGGAATCTGCATCTTTAAAATCTGTACTTTTAAATAAATGCCCCAGGTGCACTTTCAGAATATTGGTGTATGTGACTTCAGTTTTCGGGTGTATGACAGATAATCATATATCTTGCTGGGAATACCTGTCTTACTCATGTACATATGACAGTCATCTTTTTCAAGATGTGTTTACCAGGAACAGAAACTCACTCAAACTCCCTTAACCAGAAAGTGGAAATAATTAACAGGATAAAGAAGCATCAGTCCCAATTACGGTGCCCCAGGTGAGGGCCCCCTGCTGTAAATGACTCCTGGGGTCAGTGGGGTGTACTTAACAACATAAGCAACAAGAACTTCAATAACCATATAAAACAAAACCCAAATGGTGCAAGACATGATTAACAGCAGGACTGTGGCCTGCTCATGAATCTTTTGGAAGCTCGGAGGTGGACAATTCTGGGCTGGAGTCTTCATGAGAAAGCGGGGCAGACTTGAGCCTTGAACCACCAAGGAGGGATGATGGGCAGCACCAGAGAAGAGATGACATAACCTCAGCCCGGAGCAAAGCATATTCCAAGGACAATAAATACACCTGCCTGTCTGGTGGGCGAGTTTGGGTAAAAGAACTGGAAGTAGTGGGAAATAAGCTGAGACATTGGGTTGGAACCAGATTGACAGGAGCCCTGGAGAGGCTTTAACTTCAACTTAGTGAGTGTAATCACTGAAACATTTTGAATGTCTGACAAGTGATATTTAAGAAGAGAATCCAAGGGCAGTGTGTATTTAGAAGGGAGAGGAGACCCAGAGGTGGGAGCTCAGTACTGAGGCTACTGCAGACGTCCTGCCTGCAGAGGGCTGGATTCTGAACAGGGGCGTGTGCCTACCTCATTCAAGAGTGGGTTCCTCCTCAAATAATTTGAATCTTTTTTATCTGCGGAAATCACTGTTGTTCTTAAATATTTCAACCTTAGCAATTCACTCAAGATTAACTTGATCCTGGGTGTTTATAAAGCTCTGCTTACCCCCTAATGGTAATAACTCCAAAGAAGTTTAAGAAATTTTAGCAAAAATATCTCCCCAAATGAGAAAAATCATCATAATTTGAGACTCCAAACTTTCAGCTGAATGATAACATTCTTAGGAGCTTTTATCTGGGGGTTATGCTGGTGGTTTCAATCCTTCCAGTACTTGAAACCTGTATTTGTGGTGGTTGTTAATTTGTTCACTTGGACAGAGAAACAGGGACCAGTGCAGCAGGGCTCATCTTTCTCAAGTCAGACAGAAATAATTATGGCCTGAAAGCTGACTATGTTTAAGGAGTAGGTTCATTTCTCCTTCTGGATACTGAAAAGAAAGCTCTCATGTTCCCCCCATCTGAAGCATCTAATGCAGCTTGTTCCCATAGATGTTGTTTTGTGGCTGATCATTTTCTCATAATAAAGTAGGACTGGGCTTAATTATCCAAAATAAGAGTGTAGGGCAGCTTTCAATAAGCTCAAATGGTTTATAAAATTCTCTGCCCATAATGACTTTATTTTTAGGATGCAGAGGCTAATATTTATTTACTCATGAAGTACTCATTGAAAAGCTTTTATGGTGGACTCTGGCCATACAATTACAACAAGTAAAGCAGACAGAGAGACTCTGCCCTGGTGGAGTTTATCATCTAGCAGAAGGGACACATAAAAACAAGTAAGTGAATGTGTATAATTAAAATTGTGATATATGGTATAAAAGAAGTAACATATCATAGTACCAAGACTATGAGTGAAGGGGTTGACAAAGAGTGCGGGCTCTTTTGATGAGAAGATCTGAAGGAGGAAATGGAGCTGTTCATTGGAAGAGTGTGGACAGAATAGTCCCAGCCGAGCAGAGCCCGAGGAGGGTATAGGATGTAAGAAGGGCAATACTTAAGGTGGAGGATGGCCGAAGATGAAGTGAAGAAACAAGCAGAGGCTAAATCACAAGGAGCCTTGAAGGCCACGGTGTTTTACTGTGGGGACAGTGGGAACCTGTAGCCAGACACAAAGTCTGATGATAGGACAATCATGTTTGAAATCAAGATTCTCAGGGAATCTAGAGATTGTGGCACTTTATCCATATCCCCTTTAGGTGATGAATAAATATACACTGAGGATCAATACTAATTAGACCCATAAAAAAGAAGAAAAATCAATATGATTTATTGAGCATCTTCTGTGCACCAACTCCTCTGCTAGGCACTTCAAAAACCCCTCTCTGAGGAAGGACTCATTATCCCCATTTTACAGGTGAGGAAACTGAGGTGCAGGAGGGTTGGAAAAACTGCCCCAAGTCTGCCTGCTCATATGGTGGAGGAGGGAATTTGAACCTGGGCCTGGCTGCAGAGATCCTGCTCTGTCTACAATACTCAGCAGTGAATGTCTGAGGAAATGGAAAATCACCACTCAGTCCTGGGTTCGGCAAGTCCCTGGATTCTCTGCTTCCTCAATCTAACTCCTGTGTTTAATCTTTTCACTGTTCCTCAGCCCTCTCTAGTTTAAGGAAGAAGTCCTCATGTGTCAGATTTGTATAATGTGTTACTTTTCCAAGTGCTCTTACCTGTTTTCCATTTCAGTTTCTCACTGGTGTGACATAGGGGAAAGATAGAAAGAAATCAACAGTTGGAGATAACAGACCTTGGGGCCACACATTTTTCTTTTATAAACCGTTTAGTACCATCCCATTTAAAAGTCATAACAGCCCAGTGAAGGAAGTATTCTTATTCCCAATTTCACAGGTAACAGAACTGAAGCTCAGAGAGCCCACTCAAGAGCCCACAGCTGAATGGGGAGTACAGGGTTGGAACCCAGTTCCATGACTCATTTTCTTAGGAAGGTAAAAATAAAAATACCACCAGTGAGTTCTCATGTGCTAGACACCATGTAAATCATTGCACATAGTCATCAACTTCTCATGACCATGACTTAATGTAGATATTGTTACTCCTTTTACAGAGCAGGTACTCTACACACAGAGATTAGCTAACCTGTCCAAGGCCACACATCAGTTGGGCTGTGTGATCCAGACTAGACCCAGGTCTGTCTCCAATGGCCATGAGGGGAATGACCAGTGTTCTACTGAATAATGTGCCTAGGCCAGGAAATAGCTCCATGGCAGAGAGGGAGACACAGACAACCAAATTATGAAATGGCCTGATGCAGCTCACCCAGTTCCAGGAGAAGCAAGACCAGAACCATGTGGTGTGACCTGAGTATACTGCGGATGGGCAGGAGAGTTCTTTACATTTTATTGCTGAATGGACAGCATCTCTGAAAATCCCAAGCTCTGCTCGGTGGATGAATTTCCATCATCATGAGAAGCCTGCTGAAAGGAACATCTCTCTCTCCACGTTTGATCAGGACTCTGCCTCTGAAGACAGTATTCCCACTAGCTTTTGCAGAATCTGGTTGATAAAATTATAAGACAAAATTTGGTTGGTTGGAAGATTGGAGACCTTTAAGCCAGTAAAACTATAAAGGAAGAAACTATTCCTTTGCCTTCTGTTATTGTGGCTTCTTCAGGGAATTTCCAGTAACCACAGCTAGTAAGTGTAGTGCCAGCCCTCAAGTGAAAATATGAAG